AAAGATAATGCTGTGAGAGTGCTGCACTCAATATGCCAGCAAATTTGGAAAACTCAGCAGTGGTCACAGGACTGGAAAAGGTCAGTTTTCATTCCAATCCCAAAGAAAGGCAATCCTAAAGAATGCTCAAACTACCGCACAATTGCACTCATCTCACACGCTAGTAAAGTAATGCTCAAAATTCTCTAAGCCAGGCTTCAGCAATCCGTGAACCATGAACTTCCAGATGTTCAAGCTGGTTTTAGAAAAGGCAGAGGAACCAGAGATCAAATTGCCAACATCTGCTGGATCATCAAAAAAACAAGAGCGTTCCAGAAAAACATCTATTTCTGCTTTATTGACTATACCAAAGACTTTGACTGTGTGGATCACAATAAATTGTAGAAAATTCTGAAAGAGATGGAAATACCAGACCACCTGACCTGCCTCTTGAGAAACCTGTATGCAGGTCAGGAAGCAATAGTTAGAACTGGACATGGAACAACGACTGGTTCCAAATAGGAAAAGGAGTCCGTCAAGGTTGTGTATTGTCACCCTGCTTATTTAACTTCTATGCAGAGTACATCATGAGAAACGCTGGGCTGGAAGAAGCACAAGCTGGAATCAAGATTGCTGGGAGAAATATCAATAACCTCAGACATGCAGATGGCACTATGCTTATGGCAGAAAGTAAAGAACTAAAGAGCTTCTTGATGAAAGTGAAAGAGCAGAGTGAAAAAGTTGGCTTAAAGATCAACATTAAGAAAACTAAGATAATGGCATCCGGTCCCATCACTTCATGGCAAATACATGGGGAAACAGTGGAAACAGTGGCTGACTTTATTTTTCTGGACTCCAAAATCATTGCAGATGGTGATTGCAGCCATAAAATTAAAAGACACTTACTCCTTGGAAGAAAAGTTATGACCAACCTAGACAACATATTAAAAAGCAGACACATTACTTTGCCAACAAAGGTCCATCTGGTCAAGGCTATGGTTTTCCCAGTGGTCATGTACAGATGTGAGAGTTGGACTATAGAGAAAGCCGAGCACTGAAGAATTGATGCTTTTGAACTGTGGTGTTGGAGAAGACTCTTGAGAGTCCCTTGGACTGCAAGGAGATCCAACCAGTCCATCTTAAAGGAGATAAGTCCTGGGTGTTCACTGGAAGGACTGATGTTGAAGATGAAACTCCAATACTTTGGCCACCTGATGCGAAGAACTGACTCATTGGAAAAGACCCTGATGTTGGGAAAGATTGAGGGCAGGAGGAGAAGGGGATGACGGAGAATGAGGTGATTGGATGGCATCACTGACTCAATGGACATGAGTTTGAGTAAACTCCAGGAGTTGGTGATGGACAGGGAGGCCTGGCGTGCTGTGGTTCAGGGGGTCACAAAGAGTCTGACACGACTGAGCAACTGAACTGAACTGAATTGTCCAGCCCTGGGCAGTGTCGCCTGTGCGTCTCGCTCGCCTCTGCCTTGGCAAGCGGCCAGCGAATGTGACTAGGGAGGAAGGTGATTCGTCTTTTTCCTTCCAGGCTCTTTGCCTTTGAGGCTGAGTTTGGAGTTTGGGCCTCAGCAGCACAGCCCTTCATGGTGGCGTCTGTCTGGCTGAGAGCTCACCCTCTCTGCCTCCGAGCAGATCCTGAGTCCTGCAGGTGGCCAATGGCTTTAGGTGGATGGTGGAAAGCTTTGGGAGGAGTGGTTCAGAGTGGAGGGACAGAGGCCTAGAGAAAGGAAGACTAAATCACCAAACAACTTATTTCAGCAACGCTCTCTGGCCCTATGCTTAAAATTCTCCAAGCCAGGCTTCAGTAATACATGAACCGTGAACTTCTAGATGTTCAAGCTGGTTTTAGAAAAGGTAGGAGAACCAGCGATCAAATTGCCAACATCTGCTGGATCATTGAAAAAGCAAAAGAGTTCCAGAAAAACATCTATTTCTGCTTTATTGACTTTGCCAAAGCATCTGACCGTGTTCAGTTCAGTTCAGTTCAGTTGCTCAGTCATGTCCGCCTATTTGCGACCCCATGAACCACAGCACGCTAGGCCTCCCGGTCCATCACCAACTCCTGGAGTCCACCCAAACCCATGTCCATTGAGTCGGTGATGCCATCCAACCATCTTATCCTCTGTCGTCCCCTTCTCTTCCCACTTTCAATCTTTCCCAGCATGAAGGACTTTTCAAATGAGTCAGTTATTTGCATAACTGACTGGTGGCCAAAGTATTGGAGTTTCAGCTTCAGCATCAGTCCTTCCAATGAATATTCAGCACTGATTTCCTTTAGGATGGACTGGTTGTATCTCTTTGCATTCCAAGGGACTCTCAAGAGTCTTCTCCAACACCACAGTTCAAAAGCATCAGTTCTTCGGTGCTCAGCTTTCTTTCTAGTTCAATTCTCACATCCATGCATGACTACTGGAAAAACCATAGCTTTGACTAGATGGACCTTTGTTGCCAAAGTAATGTCTTTGCTCTTTAATATGCTGTCTAGGTTGGTCATAGCTTTTCTTCCAAGGAGCAAGCGTCTTTTAATTTCATGGCTGCAGTCACTATCTGCAGTGATTTTGGAGCCCCCAAAATTAAGTCTGTCACTGTTTCTGCATGTAAGTTATATGTATTCTGCATATAAGTTAAATAAGCAAGGTGACAATATACAGCCTTGATGTACTCCTTTCCCGATTTGGAACTAGTCTGTTGTTCCACATCCAGTTCTAACTTTGCTTCTTGACCTGCATACAGATTTCTCAGGAGGCAGGTCAGGTGGTCTGGTATTCCCATCTCTTTCAGAATTTTCTACAGTTTGTTGTGATCCACACAGTCAAAGGCTTTGGCGTAATCAATAAAGCAGAAGTAGGTGTTTTTCTGGAACTCTCTTGCTTTTTTGATGATCCAACAAATGTTGGCAATTTGATCTCTGGTTCCTCTGCCTTTTCTAAATCCAGCTTGAACATCCAGAAGTGCACTGTTCACTTACTGTTGAAGCCTGGCTTGGAGAATTTTGAGCATTACTTTGCTAGCACGTGAGATGAGAGGGCTCCTGATTTCCAGCCCAGGATTCCGTCTTAGGCATCTGACCCTTCAGCCAGTAACTTTCAGGTCTCACATGCCCTGTCTGGATCTCATCTTACAGGCCTCAGGTATGATCCCCCTGGGCTGGAAAGAGAAACAGTGATTTCCCAAAGTCTGAGTTCGTGGAAGTCCCTCACCACGGCTGAAGCAGGCCCCCGTGTAGAGCGAGAGAGTCGTGACCGTCAGGGGAGTCCAACTCGGGACAAGAAACACACACAGGGGAGGAAACTGGACCAAGGGGACAAGCCTGGAGATGTGGAGAGATGGCTGCCGTCTGTCCGTCCCATGGCAGATCACACACCTGTGGCCATCGCCAGCCTTCGGCTTCATGTCCTCGGCACCAGCCCTGGGCTCCCCTCCTGAGCCAGGAGGCCCAGGTCCCCTGAGCCTGGCTGTTTGGTGCCTCCTTCTGCCTCTAAGAGCAAGGAGGTCCCACAATAGGACCCTGAGAGAGACATCCTGGAGGTGGCTTCACTTCCAGCTGCCCATCCAAAGCGCAGAGATTTAGGAAGTCCAGAGGTGTGGGGGGATGGGAACTCAGTACTGGTGGCAGACACTGTGGGATCCCCAGTGAGTCTATGGGCTTGAAGGCAGAGGGTCCCCCATCAGAGGGGCTGGTCACTTGGGCTACATCAGTGTAGCCCTGCTACATCAGTGGGGTAGGGCTTAGGTCACAAAGGGGCCACAGAGGTGACCACTGGCAGGGAGGGCATCTGGGGGCAGAAGCACCCGACCTTGGCCCCTACAGACACCCTGAGCAGGCATATGGCTGTGAACTAAGTGTGCCGGAAACGAGCCGGCCACAGGCGGGGGCCACTGCGCTTAGGTCCTGGGGAGGGGGAGAGGCTGCCTGCGGCCGGCAGCCAGCTCAGGGCTCGGCCACAGCACTGTGGAAAGGGCCTTGGCGCTCAGGTGTGTCTGGGTGTAGCCCTGGTGGGCAGGAGACGGCCCTGGGCGGCCGCCCCGTGTGCCCAGGCACTTGGAGCAGGAGAGAGCCACTCCTACCCCTCGTGTGCCACATTGAAGCTGCTGTGGAACAGAGGCAGGGCGGGAAGGGATAGGTTACCACCGGCCGGGAGGGTGGGCAGGAGAACCCGGGGTCCGTGTGCGTCAGCCTCCCCACAGGTCATTCTCTGGGAGGCACAGGTTTGGTTGGTGATTCCTGGCAGAGGGCACGTGGCGACCCCAGATGGGCAGCTGAATTAAGACCCTGGGAGTGTTTGGTGCTGGATGTCTATATCTAGGCCCCAGGAGTCTCTTGGTTTAGACACCACATCCTCTGTTCAGCCCGGACACTCTGTCCTTACTTCTCTGGGCAAACGCACCCCATGGATCCTACTTTGGCTCAGGCTGCTAGCTCCTGGTCAGCCCCCGACACCCGAACCGCTGCTTTGGCCTCGAGAGCTACATCCTGCGGGTCCTCGTCAGCTGGAGGGCTTCCTCTAAAACAAAGGCTCTTCACAAGTGGCATGCCATCCGTCGTACATGTGGGCGAGACTGAGCCGGACAGCCCTGGGCTAAAGCAGACGCTCAGTCATGGGATTCTTGCCTCTTGAGTGTAAAGGACATCTCCACGGGGCTTGGAGAGATGGGGACACAGCATGTGTGGGGCCTTCCATGGGCTGGCTAGACTCACTCCCACTCAACAGACAGGTCCCAGCACAGACAGGTCCTAGGCAGCCATCAGGAAGATCAGGTGTGTGTGTGTGTGTGTGTGTGTGTACATGGAGGTGTGTGTCCTTCCAAAACGGAAGCATCCGAGGTGGGCAAATGGACTGAATTACACAGTCTCGCAGGCAGCTTCTTTTTGGGCAGATGATATTAACAGTTGTTCACTTTCCACCTGCAGCAGCGCTGGGAGGGTCCTGTGTGGAGTCAGCCAGGCCCGCTAAGCCTCGGCAGAACAGGAGGGACTCGGCCTGAACCCCCGGTTGAGGAGCCATGGCCAGGATCTGCCCTGGCCTGCTGCTCTGGATGACCATGGCGACCCTCGCGTCCAGAGGTGTCCAAGCCTGGGGTTCCAAGAAGGTGACAAGGGAATTCCAAGACATCCCAGCATCCTATGTGTATGTGCAGCAGGCACTGTGGTTCGCCATGAAGGAGTACAACGAGGCCAGCAGGGACACGTATGTCTACAAGGTGACGAACATTCTGAGGTCCCAGGAGCAGGTTGGTCGCTCTTGCTTCTCATCCTTTGTCCCCGCGCCCACCTTTGTGGGAGGGCCCTTGTCAGCTGAGAGATACCTGGAGCCAAAATTTATAAACTTTAATCTAGGGGTTTAGGGAAGAAAGTTAATTAAGTTTTCTCTTTTATAATTCTGGGGTAAAACATAATATATCCATTCAAATTATCATTACATCAGAAAACACAGGTAAGAGCGCAAAGGGGCTCTTGAAGGGGCCACATTTGGGATGGTGTGAGCAGGTATCATCCACCTGAATGTTGACAAGGATGCATTATAACACAGTGAACAAGTAAACAAACTCCACACCCAGCTTCATTGTAAATAGGAATCAGGGCAGAAGGGAAGATTCCTCTTTACAGAAAAATACCTACTTAGAAATGTGAAAGAATATGAAACTAGAAAATCACCTTTTGCAACCACCAAGGTAATAACAAACTCAGGCAAAGATCAGCAATAAATCTGCCACCCAAGATGGAGAGAAGTAAGGGGAAGGGGCCATAGCTACAGGATTGCTTTTTAATTAATCACAACCAGAACACGCTGGACAAACTGACACTACATGCCTCTGATGTGACATCACTGCAAGGACATGGCATCACTCGTATACTGTGCTCCTGCCCCAAATGTGTAAGGGTGATAGTGAGGGGCAATTAGACAAGTTCATGTTATGGGGCGCTGCTTCCCAGGTGGTGTTCATGGTAAAGAACCCCTCTGCTGATGCAGGAGATGTAAGAGACGTAGGTTTAATCCCTGGGTTGGGAAGATCCCCTGGAGGAGGGCATGGCAACCCACTCCAGTATTCTTGCCTGGAGAATCCCATGGACAGAGGAGCCTGGCGGGCTACAGTCCGCGGGGTCGCAAAGAGTTGGACACAACTGAACTGGCTGAGCACACACACAAGCATATTATGGGGCATTCTCTAAGACTACTTCAAAATATCAGTGCTGTAGATTTCAAGGAAAATAATAGCGATGAACCTATTTGCAGGGCAGGAGTAGAGACACAGATGTCGAGAATGCACTTGTGGACAGAGAGAGGGAAGGAGAGGGTGGGACGAATTGGGAGAGTAGCACTGATATACACACACTGCCATGTGTAACACAGACGGCTAGCGGGAAGGGGTGTATAGTACAGGCAGCTCAGCTCGGTGCTCTGTGATGACCTAGAGGGGTGGGGTGGGGGTTCAGAGGGAGGCCCTAGAGGGAGGGGATACATGTATACAGATAGCCAATTCACGCTGTTGTGCATGTTGTTGTGCAGCAGAACCTAACACAACATTGCAAAGCAATTATACTCCAATTAAAAAGTTGATAAAAATTTAAATATCAGTGCTGTGAAAGATGGGGTAAAGCAGGAAATGGTTCTCTTGAAAGGAAACTTAGGAAGCATGATGATAAAGGCAAGATGTGTTTCTGTGTTGTCTCTTGGATTTAAAATAATACCAAGGACTTCCCTGGTGGTCCAGTGGCTAAGACTTCATACTCCCACTGCAGGGAACCTGGGTTCAAATCCTGGTCAGGGTACTAGATTTCACATGCCACAACCAAGACCCAGTGCAGCTAAATAAATAAACAAACAATAAAATAATGCCATAAAGGATGCTCTTAGGGCAGCTGGAGGAATTGGAATATGGACTGTGTCTTAGAGGAATCAGCACTGCATTTCCTGAGAAAGAGTATTGTCCTTCTGTCTATGCAGAAGCCCAAGGTGGGGTTGTTGGGGTGCAGGAAGCAGTCGTGGTGGGGGCAGAAGGTGATGTGTTGTGGACTATGCTGGCCTGACCCACACCTCTCCTCCACTCACCCCATCTTCCCCCCAAACTTCCCCCCCTCAAACCACCTTTGAGCCACCGGCAACCTGCCTCCCTTTCCTGTTTCCTTGTGCGGGCAGAAGTTTTACTCATGGTCCTGACCCTCTAAGAGGTGGGACACCTGGCACCTTGTCCGTCTGCACAGGCTGTGGGCCCTGGGCTCCCTCTGGTTCTCTCTGTGGCCCCAGTTGCGTGCTCTGTGTTTTTAGGAAGCATCACCAGAGCCAGGATGTGCATTCCCCTATGGGTGGCTGAATTAAAACCCCACATCCCTGGGGGCTCAGATTTAATAGCTGTTCTTAATGAAGTTCCTGCCTTTCCTGGGACTAGTCCATTTTTCTTAACCTGTGCTCTCTGTTTATATAAACAGAAATAGATGGCTCTGCTTTATAGGCTGATATTTAATCTCTTGGGCTTCTCTGGTAGTTCAGTCAGTAAAGAATCCACCTGCAATGCAAGAGGCCAGAGTTGGATCCCTAGGTCAGGAAGATCCCCTGGAGGAGGGCATAGCAACCCACTCTAGTATTCTTGTCTGGAGAATCCCCATGGACAGAGGAGCCTGGTGGACTACAGTCCATAGGGTGGCAAAGAGTCAGACACAACTTAGTGACTAAACCACCATTTAATAATAAAATAAACTAAATGCCCACATATCTCAAGACTTAAATATCATTTCATACTGTTTGCTGGTTCTTTTCATGAGTGTCCATTTTATTTCTTAGTTCACTGTCAGCTCTAGAATTCAGGTAAGGATACAAAAGAATCAAATGGAAACAGGTTAAAAGAGAGGCTAGGAGAGAGGTGTTTTAAATTCGCTTGAAAATATATTGAAGAAAGGGGTAAGGAAGAATACACCATCCCCAAACAAAAGCGAACAGAAAAATACTGGGTGACAATTCAGATAAAACTTAATAAAATACCCACAGGCCCTATAGATGGAAAACTGCTCTATTCTACTGAATGACTTAAGTTAAAACTACAAAGATATTTATCAGCAGTTGTCACTTACAGCCTGCAGCCTAATCTGGCCCATGGCCCTTCTTAGTACATCACATGAGATATGAACGAATATAAGAAACCAAAGGAGATTATTTTGTGATATATGAAAATTATATTACACTGAAACTTATGTCCATAAATACAATTTTATGAGGACACTGCCAGGCACACTTTTTGAATGCCGTCTGGGCTGTGTCTGTGCTGCAAAGCCTGGAATATTTCCTCTCTGGCCCTTAAAGAAAAAGCATGTAGCTACCAGCTCCAGTTCACAGAGGAGGAAACAGGCACAGAGAAGTTTAGAAACCTGCCCAAGGTCACACAGCTACAAAGAGAAGAGCCAAGATTTAAATCCGAGCTGTCTACTCTTAATCTACCGATGCTGCTGCTTCTGAATGGTGCTGGCTGGGCCAAAGATACAATGGTGCAGCCAGCCAGGAGGGCACGGTATCACAGGAGGCCAGGGGAGTCAGAGAGGCCCGGCCATGGCAGGAGTGAGGTGTTGAATCCACAGCTGGACCCTCATCTGCCTCCCTTTCCTGGGCAATCAGAGGCGAAGGTGGGGCCAGGGGTCGGTCAGTGGTTGTTGAGCATGATTTAGGGCAGTCTGTTTTTTTGGCAATTTTCACTTGGAAATTTACTAAATACAAAGCACTCATTCTCAACTGGGCACAGATTTTGCTCTTCAGGGCATTTTTGGCCATAGCCTGAGATGTTTCTGGTTATCACAACTGAAGGGGCTGCTATTGAGATTTGAGGAATGGAGTCCAGGAATGTGGGTCATCACGCCTCAGGCATAGCAGGGCCCCCACAGCCAAGAAATTCAAATGCCAACAGCCCCGAATGCCAACATCACTGGAAAACTTGATATCAGGTCCTGAAAAATGTGCTTGGGGTACATTTGGAAGTAGTTGAGGTAAAAAAATGAAAGCGACCACTGACTTCTTCACATCCCCCACAGACATCAATCCTGGTGGGCATCCCTGCAAGTGTCCTTTCAGACACTTAGTGCATAGCTGAAAATTAAAAAAAAATATGTTTTATACTCATGAAACCATACTTAGATTTCTGCTCACACCCATTTTGTTCAGTGCCCAGGCGACTTTTCCAGAACTTCCAAAATGTTTACTCTATTTTCTGAATTATCTCTTATTCTGCGCTCAGGTACAGAATCTAACTAACCTGGTCATTCTCTTTAAATATTCTCTCCCTAACGTCTTATAAACTTTGTTTTCCTGTTCAGGTTGTTTCTATGTCCTGGCTATTGTAAATAGTGCTGCAGTGGAACATTGGGGTACATGTGTCTTTTTGAATGATGGTTTTCTCAGGGTATATGCTCAGGAGTAGGATTGCTGGATCATATGCGAACTCTATCCTTAGTGTTTTAAAGGAATCTCCATACTCCTCCATAGTGGTTGTACCAACTTACATTCTCACCAATAGTGTAGAGGGGTTCCTTTTTCGCCATACCCTTTTTAGCATCTATTGTTTGTAGATTTTTTGATGATGGCTGTTCTGACCTGTGTGAGGCGACACTTCATTGTAGTTTTGATTTGCATTTCTCTAATGCATAGTAAGGTCGAGCATCTTTTCATTCTTCAATCATGGGAGTGGACATTTACCATTGCTCATGTGGGTTTCTTCACGAGGCCTCTGTGAGTACAGGGCTGTGGTGGGCTCTGGACAGGGTGGGGAGGGGTGAGGGGAGATGCCTGGAAAGTCAGGGATTTGGGAGGGTGTATGACATGGAATAAGGTGTAGATAACTAAAACTGCCAAAGGGAAGCAATATATTCTAAGTGGATTTCACTGAAAATGTTGATTCTTTCCCAAGCTCCAGTGAACAAACCACTAGTTTTCCCAGGAAAATGGCCTTTAGGAAATAGCTTTCTTGATTTATCTCGGTGAGAGCTGTCATTGCTTTAAAATTAAATATCATAATGAAAAAGATCGAGAAACAGAGAGACAGAGAGAACAAGGTAAGGACCACTTCTGTGTTGCCCCAAAACTCTGTCAGGACAAACTCTAGGAGGGAGGGAGGTGGGGAGACGTCCTTTGCCCTAAGCAGTCAATGACATGTTTGTTTGGCAGAAATGACAACTGATACCACATATTCTTTGGTGATATCTAACTTGAAATGATTCACGGACAGGTCACGGATAGTTTGGATTACCTTCTTGAAGTTAAAATTGAGCGGACAATGTGCAAGAAAATTTCAGGGACAACTGATAACTGTTTAATACAAGAGGATCCCAAAATGCAGAAGGTAGGTGCTAAGACAGCCTTCAGCAACCTTGAATTATCTTGCTTGAAATCACTCATTAGCCTCCAGGTAGTCTTTCCCACCTCTGCCCTTACAAGGCTCATGCAACTCTTATAGATTCCCCATTTCAGATCTCCTATAGGTTTTGAGCTTATCTGTTTTCTTTATTGAGTCTTAGAAAGGAAGAAAGGGTAACTATCTGATCTCCTTGGGGAAAAGTTTTAAAACCTGGTATTATTTTAAACAGTTATAGGCCTGGTTCACGGAAGGTAGTACTTTGAAAATTTTCCAAAGTACTAAGTAGCTGAAAATCAACTACAGAAGGAAAAAACAAAATCAGCTATAACTACCCTTATGGAAAGTTTACTGCTGTCAACTTATTGTTATATATCCTAGTTTTTCCTATATTTTATATTTGTGTTTTTGTGTAGTAGGGAATTGCACTGCACACTGTTCCATCATTTGGATTTTTACTTAATAATAAAATCTAAGAATTTCTGAAACTGTACAGTTATTAGAGGGCAGTATCACTGCAGACAGAGACTGCAGCCATAAAATTAAAAGATGCTTTCTTCTTGGGAGAAAAGCGATGACAAACTTAGTATATTAAAAAGCAGAGACATCTCTCTGCTGACAAAGGTCCATAAAGTCAAAGCTATGGTTTTTCCAGTAGTCATGTACAGATTTGAGAGTTGGATCATAAAGAAGTTCGAAAAAACTGATTCTTTCAAACTGTGGTGCTGGAGAAGACTCTTGAGAGTCCCTTGGACTACAAGGAAATCCAACCTGTCCATCCTAAAGGAAATCAATTCTGACTATTCATTGGAAGGACTGATGCTGAAGCTGAAGCTCTAATACTTTGACTGCCTGAAGTGAAGAGCCGATTTATTGGAAAAGACCCTGATACTGGGAAAGATTGAAGGCGGGAAGAGAAGGGGACGACAGAGGATGATATGGTTGGATGGCATCACCGACTCAATGGACATGAGTCTGAGCAAACTCTGGGAGATAGTGAAGGACAGGGAAGCCTGGGACGCTGCAGTCCATGGGGTCACAAAGAGTCGGGCACAAATTAGAGACTGAACAACTAGAACAACTAATATGTTCCCCAACACTGCCAGGAACCAGCTCAAATCCTGATCCCCTGCAACCTGGACGCCCCATCAGTCTGGACTCAGTTCCTCCGTGGCCAGTTTGGGTTCCTGGTTGTTTGGTCCTTTGTCCCCCTCAACCTGACCCCGTAGTCTTTGTATCTTACACAACTTCAGTTCTACTGAGTGCCACGTTGATATAATGGAGGTTTTCTCACTTTATATTTTTATTCTGATTGAATAAAGATTTTAGGCGAGAAGAGGGACAGGGTGATCTCACCCAGGTCAGAGCTGGGAGCACCGCTCCTTCTGCAGGGCCTGTGTCTCCTTCCAGCTCCCCAGCTGCAAGCTTTTCCTGGTGGGACCTGGCCAGATTCTGTTCCCCTTTCTAAAGCCTGTAGGACCCTGACTATTCTTGTGGTTCTGCCTCCCCTGAGAAGGACCCACTGGGCCCTCCAGGCAGCATGGGGTCTCCAGGGGCTGCAGGAAGTCTGCGTGGGGCAGTGGCGGGGGACGTCCAGAGCTGGACAGGAGACTTTCTCAAGACTAATTCATCCTGGGCTCCAACGCTTGCTCTCCTGGAGCAAATGGAGCCCTGACTGTTATGACCTCATATCACAGGGACATGAACCGAAGTGGCACTCAGTTGCGGAGCTGTCTCCTCAGCCATCAGGTCAACTGTTCGGGGGCCTGCAGGAGCTTGACTGGCCCCTCCTTAAGCCAAATATTGACACCTGGAAATAGGAGCTTCTGGTTTTCTTTTTTTGGGAATTTTTCTTGCTTATGAGTTATTCTTTTTATCTCTTCCAGATGTTTTATTGTACCTTTATTGTGGCATCCAAACCCTGGAAATTTGAACTCAAGATGCTGAAGAAAGAATGCAGTCCTATCTAATGGTCAGCTAGCCACTCTGCAACTCTCGTGTGCATTTCAAGAAGTGAAGATACTTGTAAAGCACTTAAATAGCACATCTGACCTCTCGACTTCCCTTTTGTAGCCTGCTTGCTTTTTGTGCATTCTCCAGGCGCGAAGGCTATGGATGCGGTGCTGGTAGGGTAGCATCTTCTTCTTGGTCAGTGCATTTACCAGTGGGGACAGTCTGCTCCCAATGAATGGAAGAGAATGTGAACCTGTTACCATATTTCACCAGGCTCTGGGCACAAATTACTTTCCACTGACAGCTCTTTGTGTGGAACTAACAGGAAGCCCCATTCCTCCATTGCTTCAGGTGGGGAGTTTCTGCAAGGCCCTGAGGATGCTTTGAGAATGTCTGTCCATGGATTTCCATGGAAAGATCCCTCCCAGGGCTCCAGAAGGCACAGCATCATGGCTTCAGACACAGTTTTAACCCCTCCCAATCCAACCTGGGAGGTCGTTGGGTGATTGGGAGACTTGTGTTTTACTTTCGGTTTTGAATTGAGACAGGAAAATGTGAGAGTGATGGTGCAGGAAGAGAAAGCTGCATTTGGGCATGTGCATGTGTGTGTGTACTCGTGTGTGTGCTCGCACAGAGTGGTAGGTATGATCTAGTCCTTGTGACTGATTACCCTACCCTTGGTGCTTCAAGTAATTTATCTATTTCTCTATGGTGTCTGTGGGTCAGGGGTCTGGGGTGGTTTGGCTGGTGTCACCTCTCCTGAGGTATCTCCCAGGCTCTCATGGCACTGCCCTGGTCTGAAGGTGAGCCTGGCTCCAGGGAGCCCACTCCTCAGGCGGCTTGCCCTTGTGGCTACTGGCTGGTGTTGGCTGTGAGCAGGTGGTCTCTGCAGTCCTCTGTGAGGGTCTGTCTGCACAGCCGCTGTGTACTGGGTGAGGCGGATGGTTTCCCCCAGACAGAGTGTCCGAAAGTCCGGGTTGGAAGCCATGCTGCTCTCGGTGGTCCAGCATCAGAGGTGACACACCGTCACCTCTCTGGGTTGTTGATTAACTTCAGTTCAGTGTGGGAGAGAGGGCTGCGAGGTGTGGCGACCGGGAGACGCCAATCAGGGGAGGCTCCCGCCGTGTGTGTGTGTGTGTGTGTGTGTGTGTGTGTGTGTATCTGTCTGTCTCTCTGTCTGTCTGTCTGTCTGTGTATCTGTGCATAGGGCTGGGCTGAGATGGTGAAGTGAATTAACAAACGAAAAAGGAGCACTTTCCAGAACATAGTGGTGGACATGGCAGCCCTGGAGGGGCAGGTCAGGGCCAGCCAGGTAAGTGTGAGCAAGCACACAGGAGCAGGTGGGTACCTACCTGACTGCCGGGTGAATCTCCTGAGACTTCTCCTGCAGAACCCACAGTGGGCACCTGTGTGGGGCAGACTGGCTGGCAGGGGATCTGAACCTCCTGAGAGGAGCCTGCAGCAATTGCAGGACTTGGGAGAGAAACACCTCAGTTCTTTCTTTTAGTAAATTACAGTGTAACTGACGTACAACACTCTCAGTTCCAAGTGTAGAACTTACAGTGATGCAACATTTCTCTATGTTACAAAGTGATGCCCACCATAACTCTAGTTACCATCTGTTATCCTCCAAAGGTGTTAACAACATTATTGACTGTGTTTCCATGCTGGACGGTTCAGCTTCGTGACTCATTCATACCTAGAAGTTTGTCCCTCTTCATCTCTCATACCCATTTCACTGCTTGTCAGCATACGTCATCAAGGATTTGGGGGGAAGAAAAGAAAGACTCACAAACGCATTTCCCAGAAGAACATGTTGCTTCCCAGGGCTGACTACAGCAAGAGGAACCCAGAGTCCAAATCCCAGGGTGACTCTAGGCCCCTGGGGACCAGGAGGGGAGGTATAGCCTGGGGAGCAGACTGAGGCCAAGAAGGCCCCACAGCTGGTCCCCCCATCACTTGACAGCCCTGCCCCAACCTCTGTTTCTATGGCTGAGGTCCAGGGAACCTGCAGAGATAAGGTCTCCACTTACTTGTTCCTTTTTGTTCAATCCTTATTTATTCAACCCTGAGTATTCATTGGAAGGACTGGTGCTGAGGCTGACACTCCAATATTTTGGCCACCTGATGTGGAGAGCTGACTCATTGGAAAAGACCCTGATACTGAGAAAGATTGAGGGCAGGAAGAGAAGTGGGCAATAGAGGATGAGATGGTTGGATGGCATCACCGACTCAGTGGACATGAGTTTGAGCAAACTCCGGGAGGCAGGACAGGGAAGCATGGCGTGCTGCAGTCCATGGGGTCACAAAGATTCGGATATGACACTGAGCGACTGAACAAGAGCAAGGGCTCTGCCTGGACCCTGACACCTGGGAAAGCTGAGAAAAGTGTCGAAATGTTTCCTGGCAATTGATAAAGTGACCACAGAGCAAAGCACAGGATCTAGAGGTAGTGCATTGGCCATTGATGCTGTATTTTCTTTCATGGCCCACTCAGGGCCCAGCCGTAAGCCTTGGTAATGGCGCCTGGGGCCAGCAGGTTAGCAGCTGGGAAGGCAGAGACCACTCTATTGTCTTGTTTCAGGAGAGGGTGCACCTGCCTGAGCTGTGGGTGATGCTTGGGGCCCAGCCACCTCGCCTCAACTGGGGTATGGGGGTTGTTGCCAAGGGAGGGACAGCTGGGCCAGAAACCCAATCCCATGATTCCTCAGCACACAGATTCCGGAAGGAGGAAGGGGCCAGGATGTGCCATCCCAGGTGAGGTGCACAGGGCCAGGGCGGGAGCTCCTCCCTCCACGACGGGTCCCTCCATCCACACCTGGGCTCACGAAGCCAAGCACCCCCAGGGGTCCTCCCTTCTGGACAAGTGGGGCCAGTGGGGCAAGACAAAGCCAGGCACTGCAGCCCCCTGCGGAGTCAGGACCACTGACACAGCCCCACTCCTATGGGCTGACTGCAGCAGCAGCATCCATGCGGAAACACCGAAGCCCTCAGTACCTATAGTGGGAATTTCTAATAATGCACTTTCACAGCCTTGAGAAATTTCATAGAAATAGCACCTGGAAAAACAGTATATATCAAGAAACTGTGTTGATTATTATTTTTCATGTTTTTCTTAGAATAATAGCCTTGTTATAGAACCCAAGGCCAGACCCAGAAGGGAGTATGACGGGGATCATGAAAGCATGGACCTTGGAACACTGGGCCAGCATCCGGCATGAACACTGCCTACGCACTTGCTAATTGCTCCCAAGAATTTCCCAGAAGGGAATGGCCCAGGGTAAAAACAAGGAGCTCTGGACTATGTCAGTGCCGTGTCTTAGGAAAGATAGATCAAAGAAAATCTGCAATCAGGAATAAAACCTGGACTCTGAGTGGACTCTGCACCTCAGTCCAATAGAGGCAGCAAGTACCCTGATACTGCACCAGATTTCGTGTTCTGTTTTCATTCTCGTCGCTCGCTCCTGGAGTTTTAGGGCAACAAGTACCCCTCTTGGTAGCCCTGCCACTGCCCCAGGAAAGGGGTGAGCTCATGAAGGGCCGGCAGCTTCCCCACTTTGGGGTGACCCCAGGGAGACCCTTCCCAGGAGCTGCTTGAGGGGAACAGTGGGGTCGATTCCTTGGAAACATGATGGGGATCACAGTGCCTAAAGGACCTTGAAAGCTTCCTTTGATGGAAGAGCCAGGAGTCAGGAAAAGCCTTGGAGGGAGCAGAAGGAGGGGTTGGGGAGGGTCGTGGAAAAGAACCAGCAGGGTCTGTGACCAGGTGGCAGGGGGACAGGCACACAGCTGTGCCCATGCTGAACGGTGCCTGCCAACAGTGAGGATGCCTGAGACTGGGCTCCCCTCAGCCCTGCCTGAGTCCCTGGCCTGGGAAGCCAGCCAGTCCTGGGTGGAGGACACTCACATGCTGAAGAGTCCTCACACCACAAGACTGGCCCCCTCCCCAGGAAAGCCTGCCGCACACACGGGAGCAGGTACTGATCTGAGAGGTGATTGCAGGCAACACCGGGCTTCCCCTGGGGCTAAGCAGGAAAGAATCTGTCTGCCATGCCAGGAGCCATGGGTGACATGGGTTCGATCCCTGGGTCAGGAAGATCCCCTGAAGGAGGGCATGGCAACCCACTCCAGGATTCTTACCTGGAGAATCCCAAGGACCGAGGAGCCTGGTGGGCTACAGTCCATGGGGTCACAAAGAGTTAGACACAACTGAAGTGACTGAGCATGCACGCTCCCTCAGGCCACACAGGGAGGAGGGGAAGGAGGGAGAAGGAGCATACAACTGCTACTTAGAGTCTCAAGGCAACCACAGGCTTCTCCAGCAGACCTACCTCTGAAGGGCTGCCCTGGAGCAGGGACGCTGAAGCCAGAGACACAGCCCAGATCCACCTGTGTGGGTTGTTCCACCTGTGGTGGCTCAGGTGTGTGAAGGGGAGAGACCCATGCCCTGGGCCCAGCCGGCTACCCTGCCGGGAAGACGGCCCCAGCTGCCCAGCCCCCACCCACTGGAACCAGGCTGCACAAGGCTGCTTGCAATGCTGACGTTTAATGACCAGTTCTACGGGGTGACATGGACAGGGAGGCATGTCTGCGTGGCCTGGGTGCAACAGACAGGTGCTTATCCAGAGAACAGAACCAGAGCTGCTCAGACACAGAAGGGTCTGCCCCCAGGGTGCCCCCAGGCTGGGGTGTGGCCTCGCTCGGCGGAGCCCTCCAGGCAGGTGTCGTTCAGGAGTTTACACTGTGTTCTCCATGGGTCAGTGGCGATCGTAAAGTGGCAGGTGTCAGCCTGTGGGAACGGCACAGGGACAGAGTGTGGGGGGCGGCCTCAGGAAGCTGGTGTCTCCAGCTCTAAAGCCACACCCACCCTACCTACCTACCCAGGGTGGCCCCCAGGAGCAGCCCCAAGCTCATCCTAGATGTTCCTGACCTGGGACCCTCTGCTGACCCCAGAGGCATCTGGGCCACTCTGCCCTGCCAGGCCTGTGATCTCCAGGGACTCCTCCCCCTGACACCAGGATGTCCCACACAATCCATGCCCCCAGTGTCCCACTGGGTCCTCTGACCTGACCCGGGCTTGTCCAGGGGACGAAGCTCACCCTGCCTTGTCACTTGAAGCAGTAGCAGCAGGGCAGGGGGGCTCAGCTTCCATCCGTCCAGCTCTGGGCAGGGGCAGGAGGACCACTCGGCCACAGAGATGCTGCCCCTCCCCCCCTCCACTCCTCTGGAAGGCAGGGCAGGGTGGTGGGTGACGACCAGGGAGGGGACATCTCGCCTTCCACCCAGGGGCCCAGACCACATGGTCAGGATCAGTCTAACCCTAGGGGGACCTGGGAAGCAGCAGCCAAAATGGGATCAGTGAGCAGACAGGCCAGGGGCGAACGAGTGACCAGTGACCCCTGGGCTGGCCTGCCTGGCTGGCCTCCGTCCTGCAGATGACCCCTCGGTGTCCTTTGGAATGGCGTCATCATCACTCCCCACACTGCCTGCCCTGATGTAGTGTCCATGGCCCTGTAACCCGAGGGTGGCTGGTGTGTGTCTTACATTGTTCACGTCTGGAGTTGCTTGAAAAGGACAGTTGTCGATGTCTTCGTCAAATGTCCTGCACCTGATTCGGGCGAACTGCAGCTCCATGGAGAACACCAGGCTGACATCCACCTGGGTTTGGACAGACACGGATGTGGACATAACCCTCCCCCTCCTTATGTACCTGGCAGGTAGATCCAAGCTGTGGGGGCAGGACAGGGGTCTTGGCAGGAGGGGCTTGACTGCCAGTTTTCTGGATAAATCTGGGCTGAGAAATGGATATTCCCTGTCCTACAGCGAGGAAGAAGCCGCATGGAGCTGCTGTATGTTCTCACACACACATGCACACTCAGGCACACATAGGACTGGGAGTGCTCCTTCTGCAGAATTTTTTCGGCATTTCTGTCTGCAGCCCACATGAAAACCACACACCCCTGGTTACATTCTGTACAGATTCCATTGCTAGGAGAACTTTTTAGGAATAAGAATACCATCTTGGATGAGTATAAATCACACTGGATCACTGAAACACAGACATCACCTTATGTAAATTAGATGACCAGGGCATGTTCGCTGCATGCAGCAGGGCACCCAAAGCTGGGGCTCTGGGACAACCCAGAGGGAGGGGATGGGGAGGGAGGTTTGAGTGGGGTTCAAGATGAGGGGGATACATGTATACCTGTGGCCAATTCATGTTGATGTATGATAAAGACCATCACAATATTATAAAGCAACTATCATCCAATTAAAATTAATATATTAATTTAAAAAAATCACACTGGATCCATGTAGATGGAGGCCCAGGAGCCCACAGCACCTGGACTCCAAGGAGAGGCCGTGAGCTCCTCGAGGCCCCTAAGAACTAGGGGGCTGTGGCTCCTGACCCTCCAGGCGCTTTCCCCCTCCTGCTATTTGTACGTCTCTGTCTCTCTCTCTCTCTCTGTGTTTTGTAAATTAACCTCTTTTAATGTTATTTCCTTGAAATCTTTTCTGAATCTTAGTCCAATATTTTCTGTCTGCCTCTTTAAAAAAAAACCCAAAAAGGTAAGTAGCTTTATCCCCTTACAGTCTATATTTTGGTCATTCTTCTTTAAACAACCTCAAATATAATGAAAACTGAAAATACACTTTATGTGTGGGTAGACTGATGGAGATTTAAAACATTCGCAAATTATTTCTTTTCTAAAAACTGAAACTAACCCAACAGGTTGTATTTCCCTCTATTTTATGGGCTTCAAATGATGATCGAGAATCCTTGTTAAGCACCCCCCAACCCTGCCAGACCCTCATTAACAGCAGATGTGCACCAGCAGGGGAGGGTACCTACAGGATCCTTCCACGACCACAGTACACGCACCTCTTTGTAGGCGTTCCTGCCCTGGCTTGTCCGGTTGTACATGTGCAAGGCATGCTCCACGGTGGCAGGGGGGTAGTTCTTCAAGAATCTCTGGTCATCATCTCCCTCTTTCTCTGCGGGACCCCAGCTGTGACTCACCAGGAGCCGGGGACCTATGAGAAGCAAGAGCAGGGTCCAGGGCTGAGCCCACCTGCACCTCCGCTGCCGGCCCTTCATGGCTGCTGCCCCCAGGCACCCGGGCTTCACCCTTCCCGTCTCCGGCTCCCACCCGGCCTCCCTGGGCGTGGGTCCAGTCTATCTGCTCCAGGACATACTCCTCCCCTGGTCTGCCCCTCTGGTCTGACAGCCTGTTCCTTCCCTCTCGTGACCCTGCCTCCTCCATCCCAAGCTGATAACATTGCCTCCTGTCCAGGAGAGAGAGCGAGACCCAGGAAGGGTGGGTTGGGAAGGACCAACCACGGAGGAGGGTCCGCTGCTGCTGAACTCCAGCCACACGCCCACCTTAGCATCTTAGCGGGGTCAGAAGCTTATGGGGTACCCTAGACTTGGATGCTGAATCAAGGGCACGATTTCAAGGGGTGTGAGTGGAAGGCAGTCCTGGGACACAGCAGCAGGTGAGGGTCAGAGAGACCAGGACAGACAGAGCCAAAGAGGATGAGTGGCCCGGAGTCAGCTCTGTGGGTGACAGAAGGTGGTCTGCAACGGCTAGGAAGGATTCTAAAAGGCCTGCCTGAGAATCACTGGCCTGGAATGTGAGGGCTTTGGCTCTGTAGGGAACAGGCTTCCTTGGGCTTCTACTTCCTTGGTGCTCCTCCCCTGCTGCCAAACTGGCCTCGTGACAGAGACACGAGGAAGGAAGGAGGTCATGACAGCGGCCGTCGGCCACAGGCCAGGGAAGGGCACCCGTGGTAGCAGCCTTGAAGGGGGGGGGGGGGCGGGGTTGGCAAAACTGAGCATTGGACTGGAAATCGAATGCCAGGGGAGTCAGTGACAGAGGAGGGAGCTAGGGGATCCGAAAGACACCACATCATCAGTGCCTGGTCATTTTATCATGAACACAGCCAAGTACGAGTGCTACCAGTGACGGAGCTCCGACAAAGGGGTAAGGAGGGGTGTGAAGTTGCCACGTCCAGGTCCGTGACACCCCCATGGACTCATCAGGACAGCCACGTGCAGACCCCAGGAGTGATTTCAGCTCCATAGTTATCAAGGATCCCTGAGTGTCAGCCAGGGAGAAGGCCAGCAAGAGAGGGTGGGGCACAGGACTCGGGCAGGGGGTTGCTGGGAGCCACGGATGAAAGTGAAGGACAGATTCTTCCTCCTCCAGCCTGTCCACCTGGGTCACCCCAATGCCCTCCCCTCACTCCCTGGGTACAAGACGGACCCCCCCTGCCCTACACGGAGTGGACTCTCCCCATGCTGGAGCTGCTGCCATCGTCCCTTCTGGACCTCAGAACCATGGGGGTAGCCAAGCCAAGTTCCTGCTGCATTAGAACACAGCAGGCACACTTGTCCCCACTAAGTGTAGAAATCCATAGAAACCTCTTCCTGTGGATCAGTTTCCCCACTTCCATCACTAGTCTCCATAGAAACCTCTTCCTGTGGATCAGTTTCCCCACTTCCATCACTAGTCAAACGGCACCTTGAAGAAAGTCCACAGCACTGGTCCAGCTCATGACAGGATGGAGTGCTGTGGCTGCCATAGCAACTGAGCCTTGGGATGGGCAAAAGAGACCTCACCCATCACGAGCTCTAACGCTCCAAGGAAAGAGATAATGTGGTATGAATACACATGGAACACTACTCAGCCTTAAAAAAGGACCCAGTTCTTCTAATGCAGCAATGTCAATGGACATAGAGAATATTATGCTGAGAGACATAGGTCAGAGGGAAAGAAACATGCTCTGTGTCAACCTACATGTGGAAACCCCAATATTAATTCAAACAAATCTGTATGAAAAACAGAAACAGATTCACTGACACAGGATGAAACTAGTGGTTACCAGTACAGAGAGGAGGAGGGACAAATTAGAGGTAAGGGATTAAGACAGATGAAGTACACAGTATACAATAGATAAGCAACAAAGATTTATTGTATAACACAGGGAGATAAATTCATTTTCTTGTAATAACTTTGAGTGGAGTACTCTTGATGAGGGTGAAAGAATGAAATGGAAAAAGCTGGCTTAAAATCCAACATTCAAAAAACTAAGATCATGGCATCTGGTCCCATTACTTTCTGGCAAATAGATGGGTAAAAAGTGGAAACAGTGTCAGATTTTATTTCCATGGGCTCCAAAATCACTGCAGACAATGACTGCAACCATGAAATTAAAAGATGCTTGCTTCTTGGAAGGAGAGCTTTGACAAATCCAGACAGCATACTAAGAAGCAGAGACATCTCTTTGCTGATGCAAATGTTCCATATAGACAAAGCTATGGTTTTTTTCAGTAGTCGTGTGCGGATGTGAGAGTTGGATCGTAAAGAAGGCTGAGCACCAAAGAACTGATGCTTTCAAACTGTGGTGCTGGAGAAGAATCTTGAGAGTCCCTTGGACAGTAAGGAGATCAAACCAGCCAATCCTAAAGGAAATCAACCCTGAATATTCATTGGAAGGACTGATGCTGAAGCTGAAGCTCCAATACTTTGGCCACCTGATACAAAGATCCGACTCATTGGAAAAGACCCTGATGCTGGGGAAGATTGAGGGCAGGACGAGAAGGGGGTGACAGAGGATAAAATGATTGAATGGCATCTCCGACTCACTGGACATGAGTTTGAACAAATGTGAAGGACAGGTGAGCCTGGCTGGCTGAACTCCATGGGGTTGCAGAGTTGGACATGACTTAGTGAATGAACAACAACAATAGCAACAATGTATATACACCTCTGTGTGTGTGTGTTAGTTGCTCAGTTCTATCCCACCACTAATATTAAATCAACTATAATTCAATAAAAAATGTATAGAAAAAATTTTCACCCTAAAATTCCTTGTAATAGCTGTAATTAGAAAAATTTCAATTCTTAGGCATTAACTAAATATGAGAATGAGGTTGGAGTATTAGGAAGACACCAGCTCTGAGACTGTCTGTGCCAGGAGCAAGAAGGGGACAGGCTGGCAGGATCAAAGCCCCTCCTCTCCCCACCCAGGCACCACTTACTCATGGAGGCCGGGCTTCTGGAAACCCACTTTTTTCTGTGTCCCCAGGCATGGTAGTTTGACCCCTCCCTGATCAGTGTGGCCCCCAGAAACCAGTCTCAAGCCCGCAGCCCCCAGCCCACACAAGTGCCTGACTGTTCAATGCGACTCTGCCCCGACCACTCCCAGGGCACTCTGAACTGGGCTACCCAGTCAGGTCGGCACCGTCCCCTGGGAGCTGGCTAAGATGCACCTTCTCGGGGCCTGCCCAGACCTGCAGGGTCAGGATCCCAGGGATGGACAAGGCCCAGGGTCCAGGGCGTTCACAGGCCTCTATGGGTGCTGGACCCCTCTGAAGTTACCAAGTGGCTGTGGACGGAGCCTAAATGTTGCAGAGGCACAGGGCCGAAGTCTTGTCTGGAAAGAGTGCGCTGCGTCGTGGTCCGAGGGCTCCTTTGTGCCCCAGCTGGAGGCTGTGAGGGTCTCTTCTGTGAAACAGGCCCTCCCTGCTCACAGGGAGTTGTGTGTCCCTGAGCTGTGGCCACGAAGCCCCCAGAGGGCGCCAGCGTCCCCTGAGGCCACAGCTCAGCTCCTGAGCACATGGGCTTCCCTGCTCTCTGCTTCCCCTTCACCCCTCCCCCTCCTCTGGTGACAGGCCCCTGGACAAAGGGGACAGTGACAAAGAGGACAGCAAGGGCCCGCTGAGTGTCATGGCCACCCCGCCTGGGACACCTCTGAGGAGGGCGTATCCATTAGCCGGCCAGGCCCCAGGCTGAGAACCCAGGAGCTGAGGGGTCCTGCCAAGGGAGACTCGGGTTCTGCAGGAAGTTCCTGGACCCAGGACCTGCAAACCTGCTCCCATCTCACCCTGGCACCCGCCCAGGGGCCTGGGAGCCCATGTTCCAGAACTCAAGGGTGCTAGGGGGCCACAGGGATGGGGGCACATTTGCACCTCAAAAACCTCAGCTCTCTGCTGCTTTCCTGGGGGGAAGACACTTCACCTCTGGGCAGGCCGCCTTCTCTCACCCACAGAGCTGACTCTGGGCCGCTCATCCTCTTTGGTCCTGTCCCTCCTTGTCTCTCTGACCCTCACCAACTGCTGCATCCCGGGACCTCCTTCCACTCACACTCATTGCAACTGTGCCCTTGATTCATCATCCAAGTCTGGGGCAATCCATAAGTCTCTGATCCCCCTGAGATGCTGAGGGGTGCATGTGGCTGGGCTTCCTCCAAGGTTGCTTCTTCCCAACCCACCCTGCCTGGGTCTCGCTCTCTCTCCTAGAGAGGAGGCAATGTTATCATCTCGGGATGGAGGAGGCAGGGTCACGAGAGGGAAGGGACAGGCTGTCACACCAGAGGGGTGGACCAGGGGAGGAGTATGTCCTGGAGCAGATAGACTGGACCCACGCCCAGGGAGGCCGGGTGGGAGCCGGAGACGGGAAGGGTGAAGCCCAGGTGCCTGGGGGCAGCAGCCATGAAGGGCCGGCAGCGGAGGTGCAGGTGGGTTCAGCCCTGGACCCTGCTCTTGCTTCTCTTAGGTCCACGGCTCCTGGTGACTTATGGCTGGCGTCCGCAAGGGTACGAGAATAGTGAAAACAGAAATACCTTGGAGCTTTACTTTCCTGCCGTCGTGGAGTATGTCTTACACGTGTACAACCTGAGGAGCCTGGACAGGAATGCTTACAAAGTGGTGCGTGTACTGCAGTCGTGGCAGGAGTTGGTAAGGACCATATTTCCCCCATTGCTGGCTTCACAGGCTGTTACTAGGGTTGGGAGGGGGTGTCATCAAGGGATCTCAACCATCATTTGACAACCATAAAATAGAGGGAAATAGAGCTTATTGGGTTAGTTTCAGTTTTTACTGTAAAAAAAAAATGAGAATTTTTTTAACTCTGGGAGGTGTGTTTTCAGTTTTGTCATTTTTCACCTTGTTTTATGACGAATAAGCAAAATATGAACTATGAGGGGATGAAACTATTTATTAAAAAAAAAAAAAGAGAGCCAGACAGAAAACCCCGGATTAGAAATTTAGAATCGATTTCATGGAAATAACATTAAACTAGGCTCATTTAGGAAAACCAGAGAGAGAGGGAAAAGGGAAAGCAGCTGGAGGCCCTTCATCCTGAGGAACCTCTGGGCGTTCAGGGCCTCTGCTCTGACCCCACGTTCTCCGGGCTCCTTCTCCTCGGTGGATCGAGCGTGATTTACACTCTTCCCAGACCACGTCCTGAATCCTAAAATGTTCTCATGGCAATGAAATCTGCAGAACACGACCAGGGGTGCAATTTTCACATGCACTGCAGACAGAAAGGCTGAGAGCATTCTGCAGAAGGAGCACTTCCGGTCCTGTGTGTGGCCTTGTATGGATGTGTCCCTGTGCTTTGTGTGAGTGCCTAGCGGCGGGGGGACACGCTGGGGCGATACCCCCCTGCACCTCTGGATCGAGTGACAGAAGGAAGGCAGAGGGCTCTCCACACGACTCCAGCTTCCCTCCAGGGACAGGAGTGGGTCCCGCCTGGCCCTGCTGCCCGGCTGCCCCCAGCTGGGCCTCTGCCTGCCGTCTCCGGCCTGGAGTGCAAGACTGACTCTGGGTGTTGGGAATAAAGGCTGGGCTAGAATGGGGGGACCCTGCGAGGCCTGAAGTCCAGGCAGTGGAGAAGAAGACAGTGCACTTCGTGAGAGGGAGGGTGGTTCTCAAAGTCATTGTCCCAGTCCCGTGAATGTGCTGTGTGCTTGTGTCCTAGTGTCTGTGCGTGCTGATATGTGCGTGTGTGTGTGTCTGTGTGTGACTGTGTGTATGTGTGTATGTATGTGTGGATGTGTGTGGATATGTGTGTGTCTGTGTGTGTCGGTATGTAAGTGTCTGTGTGTGGATGTGTGAGTATGGATGTGTGTGTGGGAGGAGAAAGTATCCACTTCACTGTCTGAACAGAGAGAAATAGGCCTGGTGTTCTCCATGGAGCTGCAGTTCGCCCGAACCAGGTGCAGGAAATTTGATGAAGACATCGACAACTGTCCTTTTCAAGCAACTCCAGACGTGAACAATGTAAGACACACACCAGCCACCCTCGGGTTACAGGGCCATGGACACTGCATCAGGGCGGGTGGTATGGGGAGTGATGATGACGCCATTCCAAAGGACACCGAGGGGTCATCTGCAGGACGGGCCAGCCAGGTAGGCCAGCCCAGGGGTCACTGGTCATTCATTTACCCCTGGCCTGTCTGCTCACTGATCCCATTTTGGCTGCTGCATCCCAGGTCCCCCTAGGGTTAGACTGTTCCTGACCACGTGGTCCGGGCCCCTGGGTGGAAGGCGAGATGTCCCCTCTCTGGTCGTCACCCACCACCCCGCCCCGCCTTCCAGAGAAGGAGTGGGGGGGGGGAGGGGCAGCATCTCCGTGGCCAAGTGGTCCTCCTGCCCCTGCCCAGAGCTGGATGGATGGAAGCTGAGCCCCCCTGCCCTCCCTCCCAGGCCCTACCCTGCTGCTCCTGATCCAGGTGACAAGGGGGTGAGCCCCACCCCCAGATAAGACTGGGACAGGTCAGAGGCCCTGCTGGGACACTGGGGGCATGGGTCATATGGGACATCCTGATGTCAGGGGGAGGAGTCCCTGGAGATCACAGGCCTGGCAGGGCAGGGTGACCTGCCCAGCCAAGAAGGTCGGGTGTGCTGGATGCCAGCTTTAGAGCTGGAGACCCCAGCTCCACAAGTCCCTTCCCCCTAGTCTGTCGCTGCGCTTGTTCCCACAGACCGTCACCTGCTTCTTCATGGTCGACTGTGAACCCTGGGCGACCAAGTTCCAACTCCTGAACGACACCTGCTTGGGGGGCTCCGCCGAGTGAGGCCACACCCCAGCCTGGGGGCACCCCGCCACCCTGTTGTGTCCCTTCAGTGTCCAAGAGGCTCTGGTTCTGTTCTCTGGATGAGCAGCTGTCTCAGGGTCACGCATGGGCCACACGAACACGCCTCCCTGTCCATGTCACCCTGTAGAATTGGTCATTAAACATCAGCATTGCAAGCAGCCTTGTGCAGCCTGGTTCCAGAGGGTGGGGGCTGGGCAGCTGGGGCCGTCCTCCCGGCAGGGCATCCGGCTGGGCCCGGGGGCTGCATGTCTTCCCTTCAGACACATGAGCCAGCTGCCGGTGGCGCAACCTAGGAGCACAGGTGCCTCTGAGCTGTGCCTCGGTCTCATGGGATGAGCGTGATCCTTAGAGGGACATTGGCATGGCTGGACAAGCAATGCTCACTGCAGGGTGAACCCTGCACTTGGGCCCCTCAGCACATGCCCAGTGGCTTGCTCACACACATCCACTGATCTGGGAAGCTACGGGAGGGGGGAATATAGGAGGGGCTCCAGCCTCCTCTCAGATGGGCCCACCCACAACAAGCTGCAGTGTCTCCTGGAGCCTCTTAGAAACCTGCAGCCGCCCAGGGTCTCTGAACCTTTGGAGCAGCAGGCTGCTTTTCCTCTATACCCAGGGTTCCTGGGACACTCAGTACTGAGAATGGCTGCTGATGCTGTGAAGACCCTGGGAGGGTCTCCCAGAACAGGACTGAGCAGGCCTGTCTCTCAGGGGAGAAGCAGAAGCAGGGCCCAGGGCTGAGCCCACCTGCATCTCCACTGCTGGCCCATCATGGCTGCTGCCCCCAGGCACCCGGGCTTCACCCTTCCCGTCTCCGGCTCCCACCCGGCCTCCCTGGGCATGGGTCCAGTCTATCTGCTCCAGGACATACTCCTCCCCTGGTCCACCCCTCTGGTGTGACAGCCTGTCCCTTCCCTCTCGTGACCCTGCCTCCTCCATCCCGAGATGATAACATTGCCTCCTCTCTAGGAGAGAGAGCGAGACCCAGGCAGGGTGGGTTGGGAAGGAGCAACCGTGGAGGAAGCCCAGCCACATGCACCCCTCAGCATCTCAGGGGGATCAGAGACTTATGGATTGCCCCAGACTTGGATGATGAATCAAGGGCACAGTTGCAAGGAGTGTGAGTGGAAGGAGGTCCCGGGATGCAGCAGTTGGTGAGGGTCAGAGAGACAAGGAGGGACAGGACCAAAGAGAATGAGTGCCCCGGAGTCAGCTCTGTGGGTGAGAGAAGGCGGCCTGCCCAGAGGTGAAGTGTCTTCCCCCCAGGAAAGCAGCAGAGAGCTGAGGTCTTTCAGGTGCAGATGTGCCCCCGTCCCTATGGCCTCCAGCGCCCTTGAGTTTTGGAACACGGGCTCCCAGGCCCCTGGGCGGGTGCCGGGGTGGGGTGGGGGCAGGATTTGCAGGTCCTGGGCCCAGGAACTTCCTGCAGAATCCCTGAGTCTCCCTTGGCAGGACCCCTCAGCTCCTGGGTTCTCAGCCTGGGGCCTGGCCGGCTAATGGATACGCCCCCCTCAGAGGTGTCTCAGGCAGGGTGGCCATGACACTCAGCGGGCCCTTGCTGTCCTCTTTGTCACTGTCCCCTTTGTCGGGGGTGCTGTCACCAGAGGAGGGGGAGGGGTGAAGGGGAAGCAGAGAGCAGGGAAGCCCCTGTGCTCAGGAGCTGAGCTGTGTCCTCAGGGGACGCTGGCGCCCTCTGGGGACCTCGCGGTCACAGCTCAATTTAGTTCAGTTCAGTCCTATTGACTGACTCTGTGACCCCATGGACTGCAACATGCCAGGCTTCCCTGTCCATCACCAACTCTGGGAGCTTACTCAAACTCATGTCCATCGAGTCAGTGATGCCATCCAACCATCTCATCCTCTGTCTTCCCCTTCTCCTCCTGCCTTCAATCTTTCCCAGCATCAGAAATTTTTTCCAGTGAGGTAGTTCTTCACGTCAGGTGGCCAAAGTATTGGAGTTTCAGCTTCAGCATTAGTCCTTCTGACGAATATTCAGGACTGATTTCCTTTAGGATGGACTGGTTGGATCTTGCAGTCCAAGGGACTCTCAAGAGTCTTCTCCAACACCACAGTTCAAAAGCATCAATTCTTCAGTGCTCAGCTTTCTTTTTAGTCCAACTCTCACATCCATACATGACTACTGGAAAAACCATAGCTTTGACTAGATGAACCTTTGTTGCCAAAGTAATGTCTCTGCTTTTTAATATGCTGTCTAGGTTGGTCATAGCTTTTCTTCCAAGGAGCAAGCATCTTTTAATTTTATGGCTGCAGTCACTATCTGCAGTGATTTTGAAGCCCCCCAAAATAAAGTCTGTCACTGTTTCCATTGTTTCCCCACCTATTTGCCATGGAGTGATGGGACCAGATGCTGTGATCTTCATTTTTTGAATGTTGACTTTTAAGCCATCTTTTTCACTCTCCTCTTTCACTTTCATCAAGAGACTCTGTAGTTCTTCACTTTCTGCCATAAGAGTGGTGTCATCTGCATATCTGAGGTTAATGATATTTCTCCTGGCAGTCTTGATTCCAGTTTGTGCTTCATCCAGCCCAGTGTTTCTCATGATGTACTCTGCATATAAGTTAAATAACAGGGTGACAATATACAGCCTTGATATACTTCTTTCCCAATTTGGAACCAGTCCATCTTTCTATGTCCAGTCTAACTGTTGTTTCTTGACCTGCATATAGATTTCTCAGGAGACAGGTAAGGTGGTCTGGTATTCCCATCTCTTGAAGAATTTTCCACAGTTTGTTGTGACCCACACAGTCCAAGGCTTTAGTGTAGTCGACAAAGCAGAAGTAGATGTTTTTCTGGAAATTTCTTGCTTTTTCTATGATCCAATGGATGTTGGCAATTTGATCTCTGATTCCTCTGCCTTTTCTAAAACCAGCTTGAACATCTAGAAGTTCTCAGTTCATGTACTGTTGAAGCCTAGCTTGCAAAATTTTGAGCCTTACTTTGCTAGTGTGTGAGATGAGTGCAATTGTGCGGTAGTTTGAGCATTCTTTGGCATTGCATTTCTTTGGGATTAGAATGAAAACTGACCTTTTCCAGTCCTGTGGCCATTGCTGAGTTCTCCAAATTTGCAGGCATATTGAATGCAACACTTTAACAGCATCATCTTTTAGGATTTGAAATAGCTCAACTGGAATTTTATCATCTCCACTAGCTTTGTTCGTAGTGATGCTTCCTAAAGCCCACTTGACTTTGCATTCCAGGATGTCTGACTTTAGGTGAGTGATCACACCATTGTAGTTTTCTGGGTCATGAAGCTCTTTTTTGTATAGTTCTGTGTATTGTTGCCACCTCTTCTTAATATCTTCTGCTTCTGTTAGGTCCATACCATCTCTGTCCTTTATTGTGCCCATCTTTGCGTGAAATTTTCCTTTGGTGTCTCTAATTTTCTTAAAGAGATCTCTAGTCTCTCCCATTCTATTGTTTTCTTCTGTTTCTTTGCACTGATCTCTTAGAAGCCTTTCTTATCTCTCCTTGCTATTCTTTGGAACTCTGCATTCAGATGGGCATATCTTTCCTTTTCTCCTTTGCCTTTCACTTCTCTTCTTTTCTCAGCTATTTGTAAGGCCTTCTCAGACAACCAGTTTGCCTTTTTGCATTTCTTCTTCTTGGGGATAGCTTTGACCACTGCCTCCTGTACAATGCTACAAACCTCTGTCCACAGCTCAGGCACGCTGTCAGATCTAATCCCTTGAATCTCTGCAGGTGGATTCTTTACCAGCTGAGACACCAAGGAAGCCAGACCTCAGCTCAGTGGCACACAACTCCGTGTGAGCAGGGAGGGGCCGTTTCACAGAAGAGACCCTCACTGCCTCCAGCTGGGACACAAAGCAGCCCCGGGACCACGACATGGTGCACTCTTTCCGGACAAGACTTCGGCCCTGTGCTCCCACAGAGGACATTTAGGCTCCGTCCACAGTTACTTGAGAACTTCAGAGGGGCCCAGCACCCATGGAGGCCTATGGACACCCTGGACCCTGGGTCTTGCCCATCCCTGGGATCCTGACCCTGCAGGTCTGGGCAGGCCCGGAGAAGGTGCATCTTAGCCGGCTCTGAGGGGACTGTGCCGACTCTGCCTCTGGACCGCACTCTGGGTGGCCCAGTTCAGAGTCCCCTGGGAGTAGACGGGGCAGAGTCACATTGAGCAGTCAGGCACTTGTGTGAGCTGGAGCTGCGGGCTTGAGACTGGTTTCTGGGGGCCACACTGATCAGGAAAGAGTCAGAATACCATGCCTGGGGACAGAGAAAAAAGTGGGTTTCCAGAAGCCCGGCCTCCATGAGCAGATGGTGCCTGAGTGGAGAGAGGAAGAGTTGGTGTCTTTGCAGGGAGTGGGAGCCCTGAACCCCACTCAAGGCCTCTCTCTCCTCCGGGTGTTCACATTCACAAGACTGCTCACAGCTCAGCCCCCCGACCCTGAGGTGTTGTTGCCTTGATTCTCTGCAGGTGAGCACCCCAGCCTCTTCAAAGAAAGAGAGTCCTTGTGATTATTGTTTTTACCTTTTGCCGGCTGCATGGCTTCCAGGATCTTAGTTCGCGGACCAATGATAGAATCTGAGCCCTTGGCAATGAAAGCAGAGTCGTAACCAGTGGGACAGCAGGAAATTCCCTGTGATTTTGCTTTTCAAGCAGATTCCATGGTCACTGCTCCCTGGTCTCCAAGCACAGCACTCAGTCCTAGCCAGAAGATGTCCTTTTGCCATTTAGTATTTGCAACAGTGAAGTAGGGCCATGTGATCAAGTATGAGAAGCAACCAGATGTGCGGGGAAAACTCCAAAGAGGTCATGTCAATGGACCATCATTCAACCTCAAAAACAGAGGGAAGTTGCACCAAGATGGATGGACCAAGAGGAAATTATGGTGACAGAAGGCAGACAGAGGACAACACGAGGCATGCTTCTACTTTCATGAGGAAGCCAAAGTAGCCAGACTCACAGAGGTGGGAAGTAGAGCGGGGGTTCCCA